TGAATACTCAACACGACTTTTGTACATACAAATTATTTGCAATTTTGTTCAACATTTTTTAGTTTTGAGCGAATATTAATTATACATATTAACTGAATTTCTTAGTTTCAACGTCCTATTATTAAATATAACGTAAAACATAGTTATTTACTTAATTATATTTTCAACAGGTACAATGACGAAGCCATCAAAGTAGATTGCACAGCTCATTCTATACTTTACAATGTAGCCACCAATACGTACCGTCCGCTCATGGTTCAAACGGACGTTTGGTGTTCCTCAGGTGCCGTTAACTCTAACGGCACCCTTATACAAACAGGTGGATACCACGACGGTGAACGTAAAATACGGTTATTTTCACCTTGTAATGACGAAGAAACTTGTGATTGGACGGAACTTCAACAGAATCTCACCGTTAGACGGTGGTATTCAACCGATCATATACTTCCTGACGGACGTATTATGATCATAGGAGGAAGAAATGCTTATAGTTACGAGTTTTTTCCACAGAATTCTAACACTAATTATGTTTTTCACCTTCCGTTTTTGAAGGAAACAACTGATCCTAAAGAAGAAAACAATTTATATCCGTTTTTATACCTTTTACCCGATGGAAATGTGTACATTTTCGCGAATCAACGGTCAATTGTGTTAGATTACACGAAAAATAGAGTTGTTAGAGAGTTTCCAGTAATTCCAGGTGAGAAAAGGAGTTATCCGGCGACTGGATCATCGGTAATGTTACCGATGACATTAGTCGCCGGAGATTTTTCTCCGGTGGTGGAGGTGATGGTTTGCGGTGGTGCTAATGGTGGCGCGTTTTTACAAGCGGCGGTAGGTGGATTTATGCCTGCTTCGAGGACATGTGGGCGGATTAAAATAACGGATCCGGATCCTAAATGGGTCATGGAGGATATGCCTTCGGGTCGGGTCATGCTGGATATGTTGTTATTGCCTACGGGTGATGTGATTTTATTGAATGGAGCATCAAAAGGGACAGCCGGGTGGGAAAGCGCGATTGACCCGGTATTGAACCCGGTTTTATACGAACCGGGTCAACCCGACGCGAATAAAAGATTTAGTGTACTCAACCCCACTAGTATACCAAGGATGTACCACTCATCAGCAACGTTATTGCCCGATGGCAGGATATTAGTGGGTGGAAGTAATCCGCATATAAGGTACAACTTCACAGGCGTAAAGTACCCTACAGAGTTAAGCTTAGAAGCATTTATGCCACCTTACTTGAGCCCACACCACTCTCATCTCCGTCCATCAAACGCAACCGTTAAAGGACCCGTATCGTACGGTCAGAAATTCTCCGTCACATTTACACTCGGGGTTTCTCAGGATATGAAGGAGGTCATGGTAACAATGATTGCACCTTCATTTACCACACACTCATTCGCGATGAATCAACGATTGTTAATTTTGGACATTGTGGAAATTCAACAACTATCGTCATTCACTCAAAAGATCACGGTGTATGCCCCTCCATCGCGTAATATTGCACCACCGGGTTATTATATGGTGTTCGTGGTTCACAAAGGCGTTCCTGGACACTCAATTTGGGTAAAAATGCAGTAAATTTTTATAGTACCTTTTTTTTTTTGGTGTTGGAATTGGTAGTTTAGAATTTAATAGGTGCATTATTATTTCACTATAGGTAGTTGGAATAGAAATTTAAGTACCATTGAGAAAAGGTCACCATTTTTTCCCAAAGAAGAAAAACAAAAGATTGGTGTGTTTTATTTTATTTTTTTGTGTTTTTTTGTTGGTATAGTTGCCTAGCTTTCACTATAGAGGCCTAGGTGAGTGATTGTTTTTAGAATACAAATTGAGAATAAGTTGGGGAATGTACCTGACCAAAATACCCAACAATGAGAAGGAAATTCCTTCTTTCTAGCAATTATGTTTTGGTAAGATGTAAAGTTGTTAATATATGATTATTGGTTTGATTAATTATGTGCACAAATTTTGATATATTTACTTGTGACAAAGATAGTCGATGCAATCATTCAATAAAATTGCTCTCCATGTTCACATGTTAGACCTAGGTGATGTGTCCGATATAGTGATGTGTTCAGAATTTTTATTAAGGAGTTTAAAAAATAATACTTTAAATTTGAACTTGCAATCATAAGGTGAATTTTGATCCCTCAATCGCTAAGACTACCTATAATATAATATAATATTTAGGAGGTCTAAAATCTAAATATATACATACAAATTTTTTAAAATAACTTATATATAGGGAAACTTACATAGATTCCTCTAGTTTAGGAGTTAATTACTTAGGTACACTCTAGTTTGCAATATTACGTATCTTACCATATTTTGGTGTGTTCAGATAAATCCAAACACATGTATCTCAGGATAGATGAGGTAAAAAATAGGAGTAATTTGTTCTAGAGACATTGTATCCAAGTAGATTCACATGTATTTATGATACATAGCAAATATCGCTCGCCTCCCTCGTTTCTCTCCCATCTCGCTCACCATTCACCTAAGTATCTGGTATCTCAGATACATGTGAATCACGCCAGATATATATATATATATACATGTATCTAGTGTGATTTGTATGTATATGAGATACATAACGAATCTCACTTGCCTCTCTCTCTATTTTAATCTATTTGATAGCAAAATACATGTATCTAAGTATAGCTTCTTCAATATATGGGATGAAGCTCTTAATTAGTGGTAAAATAAGTAATATTTTAAAAGTATAGATAACAATAACATGTATGATTGTGTAGTATGTCTCATTATATAATTTTTCCTTATATATATCATATCAGTTTTTATAAAGGAGATTTGAGCGAACCCCTCGCCACCCCTAGATCCATTCTCCATGTGATAAGTCCCTGTTCAATGCTATATGCATGTTCTTTTGATTTGGTAGTGAAACTTTAACAGACTGGTGAAATTAATGAGGAAGTTGTAAAGCAGGTGGGGATGGGACCCTAAGATTAAAACACAAAGAGGAGCCCCCTATCTTTGTTTGTATTATACAGTACAATTGTCAGAGGGCAGAACTGTCTCTATTGGACCATTAAATAAACCTTTGTGATGTTGTGGTGGGCACAAGTGAGAAACAAATAAAGAAAAAGTCTACACTCATTACTCATCACCCCACATTCCACAAGTAGCAAAAGAATAAATCAAGAAAATTACTCCCTCCCTTTTGATTTAGGTGAAGGGTTGATCAATATTTCTTTGGATTAAAATAAATAAATTATGATATGGAGCAAGTGTCTCGAGATCCTGGTTTAATAATAATAAAAAATTCCTAGACAAAAAAATAAATAATTGGGAAAGAGGTTTTATGGCCTCTACTTACAAAAGGCGGAAGAACAAGATAATAATAAGAACTTCTTGAGATTTTTCTCTCATGTCTTTTATTCTTTGCAGAGCTTTCTTTTATAGGCCTTAAAACTAAATCGTCGTCGCAATGTGAAATGACCGTACCCTTAACCATCTAGAAAATTATTTTACTAAGTTTTAATTTTTTATTTTGAACTGTTTGGAGCAAGCGGAGGACGCGCGGCTTGAAATTAAAAATTGGTCTTTTCAAAGAAGCATTTGACTACTTCCTGTTATAAGGTGGCTTTCACAAGGCAAGACTTAGTCGAGCTCCAACTAAATCTAGATTAGTCGAGCTGCAAATAAAAAGAATGGAGATGCAGGGTATCGATCCCCGTACCTCTCGCATGCTAAGCGAGCGCTCTACCATCTGAGCTACATCCCCTGACTGTCCTAACTAGTCTGCATAACTTACACGTTGGTTTAATGTTTATCTGAAGAAAATCTATTGAAACAAAGGCCTTTGTTTGAAGAACGAAAAAGAGGTCTAACCTATCTTTAATTAATAAATGTTTCTCGAGAATCAAAGCGTATCAAGAAAATGGAGTATAAGGGTATAGTTATAAAAACACATTTATTTTTGTCTCGAGTCTTTAAGGTGATACTTCCTTTGTTCCTATTTATTTATGTTATTTTAGATTTCACGTCCCTTAAGAAATTATGTAAGTTTACCATTGTACTCTTATTTAGTGTTCTCTTGAAGTCAAGTTTTCATAAATGAACATAAATGAGTTTATTTTGATTAAGTAAATTAACCAATGAACATGAATTAATCATTTCGTTTTCTTATATTGGTCGAATTCATACTTTCAAGATTAATATCTCTCAAAGATAAAATAGGAAGAATAGTGTTATTTATGTACTGATTTTGTGAAATGACAAGTATTAAGAAACATCTATTTTTAGTAAGGACGACATATAAATAAGAACAGAGGGAGTACTTATATTAAAATATATAGTAGTATTTTTGTAACGACCCGAACCGTCGTTATTTAGGAAAAACAAAATTTGGAAAATTTCTTGGCCACTGTCCCGCCCGGTGGATTGGGTCGTCACAATTTTTTTACAAAAGTAACCCTTTGGGATGGAGGAAGTATAAGTGATGATTAACTAATCAAAATCCATATGTTTAACTAAATATTGAAAAACATTGATTGATTGCCTAGATTGTAGGAAAAATCACATGTTTTGATATTTTTAATAGCACATTACTGAGTTTGTAGAAAAAAAATCATCAGTTTGATGAATGCATTTGAGTAAATAGGTCAAAAAACAAACCTATAAACTTTACATTCTCTTCCAAATTCAGCCATATCGGTAGTCTATGTTGTTCAGACTCTTCAAAAATGTCAATGACTGAGTGTAGAATCCTTCAAAAGTAGTGACGATCAACATTTTTGGAGAGTCAGAACAAGTCTGTAGTTAAAATACTTGTGAATACAGATCATCAGACAAAGAAGAGCATTTTGATAGCTTTTAGATATGAGATCAATTGATCAACAGCTAGTTCTATTTTGACCTCTTTGCTGGTCTCAATCCAGCAATTCATCAGACACATTTACATTGAAGTCTAGAAAAAACCATATATTAAAACTACGAAACTTTTATCTATGCGTCTCAACGCCTAACGTCTACTTGCTAGATTTGACTGATGCATACTTGTATTTTGTAGCCCAGAATAAGTAGTGCATAAAGTTTAATGCACTTAGTATGCACATTAGCCAGTAGAACCTATCTAAATGGTAGTGATTCAAGTTTCTACCAGAGAGCCATGGCTTGTTCGTTGAAATGCCTGTAACACGATTGACAATAGACACTATCACCGAGCTGAGGTAGTATCCGATAGCTAAAGAAGCCCACGACAGAGATGTTGCCAATGATCTCATACTCACTGGTGCTTCTGAGAAACAGAATTCTAGTAGCCCTGCTAGAACGAAAAGATCAGCTGACCCGAGAAACAAGTACTGAAACGCGATCCAAAAGAATGTTATAGGCAATGGTTTAGCAGAGTCAATGAGTCCTGAATCAGTAACTACTCCTTTGCGTTTGATTTCAACAAGAGCTGCAATTGCCATTGCCACAATGGAAAGGAACAAACCGATACCAATACGTTGGAGGTGTGAGATCCCCATTTCTGTTTTGGTTACTCTACGAGCAAATGGGATGATGAAATGGTCGTAAACTGGTGCTAAGATCATGATGAATACTACAGGGAAAACGGGGAGTGATGCCGGTGGGACTTTTAAAGAACCAACCTTTGTGTTCATAGAGGCTGCTTGATGGACTGAGAATGTATTTAGTTGAGCTAGACAACAGTTGAGCATGATGGTGCAGGCGAAAATTGGGAGAAGTTTCATCACAATCTTAACTTCTTCCACTTGTTGCACTGTGCATTTTAACGTGCCACAAGCTGGTGTGTCTGAAACAGCCCGATTAAGAAAGCTAAGACTACTTGATGAAGCTGTCTCGATTGATTCTACATCTTTACTAGCTGGAATCGGAGGAGAAGGACTTGAAGTCATAGTTGCAATGACAGTGCTTGAGTTTTTCGATGAACTAGCACTAGAATTTAGTAATGCTGCAATTATAACCTACACATTGTAACATGAGGTTAGTTGTTGAGTTTATAAAGCTCAACGCGTGCTTGTTAAATAAATAAGTTGTTATTTGAAAAATATATACCTTACTGATCGTTGTAAGAGGGCTACCACGAGGTATCTTGTTACGATAGAATGGTGAACCAGCAAGGAATATCGGAATTGACAAAAATATAGCTAAAGTTGCAATTCCGAATCCCCATTGCCATCCCTTATTGTCTTCCATCCAAACAACAAATGTGACAGCAATGAGAGCTCCAAAGGAGAGACAGAACACAAAGTAATTGAAGAAAGTTGATCTCTGCTTTCTTCCACGCGGAGTTGATTCATCGAACTGTTCAGCACCGTGGGGTGGTAGTGATCCCTTTATACCTCCAACACCTAATGCCACTAGGTAGAGTCCTATGAATAACATTGCAGCTTGTGCACCATGAACTTGTTCACAAGGCATGTTTGGCACTCCTAGCTCGCATTTTCGTGGCTTCAATGAACTCGAACGAGCTTGTATGGTGAGTATTACAAGTCCCTGTATTCACTCAACTTCGTCATATGGTGAGAATTCATCGTAAATAATCTACGATAGTTAAAGGCATGTTCTATAGAATGGTTGTAGGACAAGTATGTTATGATATCCATGATATATTTGATGTAAGAATGCTAATGTAGATGAATGTTCTGTTATCCATAAGTAGAGTCTGGGAAAGGTTTGCGTACTTATCACTTTTCCCAGACTCTACTTATGAAACTATACTGAATATGTGGTTGTTGTTGATTGTTGACCTATTACAACTCTTCTTTAATAGAGAGAAAGAATTACCTAACCAAAATTAATTGTGAATGACCATGAGATATGTTTTCATCTATATTTATTGTTCGGACTCAACAAAATAGTTGTTGCATCGCACTCATTGGCGGTGCCTAGTGGTCAATGTAGTATGCTGAGAATCATAAGGTCTCAAGTTTAAATTTTAGTAGTGACAAAAATACTAGGTGGATTTTCCTTATATGTTCAAGCTTTTGTGGACAGAGTTATTCGATAGTTGTGTTGGTGGGAGGTAGCAAGCAGGGCACCTTGTGGAATTAGTCAAGTGCGCAGGCTAACTCAGATATCATTTTTTTATTGGCGCTCTTCGTATCAAATTCTCAAAAAAAAAATTTCAATGTTCTAATTTATGTAGTATCGTTTGATCATATATGAAGTTTAAAAATAAGAAAAAACTTTATTATATTTACCAAATTGTAATAAGAATTGAAGCCACATATTTTTACATGACATGCAACAAAGACAAAACTAGGATTTGGAAAAATCAAAGATGGAGGGATAAGTGGCCATCTATAGTGGACATATAAGTTTGTGATATATACAAACAAAATAAACTATTCTAGTGCACATTTTCTACTTTTGATAGGTGTATGCATTAATGTATAAATATAATAATGTTGTGTCACTTGTGCCTAATTCTATGTTGGTGACATGTGCCCCTATTTTTAAAAAACAAAAATGGAATGTTTCCTGTGGACATTCTTTCTTAATGGAAAAGTTTGTGGCTATTTAAAGAAATCCATAGATCTACCACCACATTCCCAACTCCACACACCTGTGTCATGGTCCTGGTAAAATATATTATTATATATTTTTTATTTTATAATCACTATTTTGGTTAATATTCCCTTGGGCTTACACATAAAAAGTAGAAACCCCTTTAGTTCTTTGGCACTACAAATACTATTTTGTGTAAATCTATTATTTTAATATCTCAAAAAGTTATGTTGCTTGTGAGTTGTGAGAATGTTTGTTCCCTCTCCATTGGAATAATTTGCTAGGTCAAAGATTTGATATCCTAAATCTGCGATCTCGGATTTAAGCCCTGAATATAAAAAAATCTTTGGTAGGAAACGTTAGCCACGAATGGAAATCTACATTGCGCTAATCTTAATTAGTCAGATTCCAATATGGATATTGGATATCGAATGGGAAACCAAGATTAAAAAAAAAAATCTTGTTATCCACGATATACACACACAAAAAAAAGAATAATTGAAATTAGCAACGAATTTAGTCGTTGATTTACTTATAGCTAATAGGATTTTATGCTAATCCGCTATTAAATAGAATTTGCGACAAGTTTTGTTGTTTAATTGTAGAATTTGTTCATTGCTAATTCCTAATAGTTAACAAAACTGGGTGTTGGGTGTGGACCATCAAAGGATGTGGTGCAGTGAATGAGACTACTCTTTCATTAACTAGTGTTTTAGGTTTGAGCTTTGGATATGAAAACATTATTGGTAGAAAGCACTTCCCTCCGAATAGAGCCCTACACAAAATTCGAAATAATCGAACTCTAACGCACATGACGTGCGTTAACAAACAAGAAAAAAAAACAGAAAAGTCAAACAAAAACAGAGCATGAAATGTGTGCATAACGTTAGAAGAGAAAATGAACTGGTTGAAATTTGAGTCAAACAACAATAATTATGCTAACAAACAGAAATTTTATGTTGAATTTGTTTAACTTGTTGCTAATTGCCTCCTCATCTTGATTAAGATTGATTCCTAGTCTTAGCTCATACAATTGGATTCATTGAATCTAACATCCTTGATTAGATTGAACCCAAATCTAAAATGGGAGTTGCAACTCCTAACATGTAAAATTTTAGATACGGAGTATATAAGGAAGCAAGTCTTAGATTCTATTTGACACATTGTAAAATCGTGTGAATCTATACTCAAAGCAGATAATATCACTAGTGGACTAAGCTGTTACACAACCACTCTTCGTGCAACCTTGAAAAATGGTGTCACAAACTTCCATGAGCGTGCTCAACCCCTCGTATGTGTGGGGTGGGGGGTGGGGGGTGATGTAACACACTAGGCAAATTCTACATTGATAAAACACAGGAGAGATGCTAAGTACATAAGGAAACAAGTCTTAGACTCAAGTGACACGTTTTAAAAGTCGTGAAAACCTAGATCCAAAACAGACAATATCACTAGTGGGTTGGACCGTTATATATATCTTACATATCTCATTGATAATCCAAAAAACCAAACATTGATCTACCTAATTATATTATATTTTTACAAAAAAACTTATTATATTATTTAATCTCCGTATTATAATTTCCACAAACTATTTAAAGACCTAAATATCCCTAACTAGTTAGGTGCACCAATGATGTGGTCGAGGTTGGATTGGTGTGAACCTTCCACTAAAAATGTGTCTAAAATGTGATTCTAACTTGATAATTGGCCACCTATTTATAACCATTGCTTTTCATCCTACAACAATGTTTTCCACGATGCCACAACCTTCTTTTTTTTCACCAAATCGAATCATATCAAATTTTATTTAGTGGGTTCAAAAATCATTGGACACAAAACAAAACAAACCTCACAAAAAACAAGTGGTCTCTTTTTTCACATGTTGATTGAATTCAGTAAATTTTGCTCAAACAATGTATTTATGTTAATAATTTTATATACAACATAGTTATTATCATTTAAAGTAATCTATGTGAAAGATTCAGAACTGATAAAATTAAAATCCTGACTTTGTCTAGCAAAAACAAAACCTATAAGAAATCAAAATTGAGAAATTGAAATGGAAAATTTACCAGAAATTCAATGAGTGCACTGATGAGATAGATGTAATAAGTAGTGCAAAAGGCATCAGATAAGAATCCACCAAGAAGTGCCAATAAAAATGCTGTGCCCATAAAATTAGTCACAGAATTTGCTGATGTTGATGGTGAGAAATGCATGTACTCAGACATATACAACACCAAATTGCTTGCATTTGCCAAAAATGCCAAATTCTCCAACACCTCAACACCTAATGATAAAAAATTTCATCAATAAAATCAAATCAAATCAATTACTCCAAAATTTGGAAAAACTAATCTTGACAAAGATATGATCTAAGAATAAAAAACGCAATCCAGTGCACTAAGCTCCTATTGTGTCAGACCACAAGAATTTGTTGTACAATAGCCTTACCTTGCATTTCTGCAAGAGGTTGTTTACACAACTCGAAATTCGTGACCTTGTGCCTAATGAACTAAGCTCATGTTATGTGGAATCTACTGTACAACAGTCTTATCCTGCATTTCTAAAAGAAACTATTTGCACATCTCGAAATTTGTGACCTTCTGGTCACATGACAGCAACTTTACCGATCGTCCATCTTTTTTTTTTTTTTCAAGAATTGTGCTAGTAATTTATTTATTTACCTAACACAAAGGAGGCAGCAACCAAGCCACCATGACGATTGCTGATGGCTGGTCTATTTTTCCAATCAACATAGCTATCCCAATTGCTTTGATTATCTATTTCCTACAACACAAGCCAACAAATAAGAATTTGTTAAGTAAGCAAAATAAAAAATAAGAAGAAAAAAGAGATTTTTTTTGTTTTAACCCACCATTAGTTAAGTTGAAAGAAAGTGTTGTGGAGATCTAAGATGAAGAAATAATAGTGATTTTATAAGAGTTTAGAGAAGGTGAGAAGAGAGGAAGATATAAATAAGACTTTGAAATTAAAGCAAATAGAGAGAATTTAATTATTTTTCCTTTTGTATTTTGTATTTTAATATAATTATTATGACATAGTTAGGCACTAGAGTTCCCTTTTTTTAAGGGGGAATGAAAAGGAGAAAAGATGAATAATGATGTTATCTAGGATTTGGTTGAGTTGTCATGTTAAGTCTTTTCTAGAGTTTTTGACTAATTTTCAAAGCTAATATTAATTTGATATTTTAAAATAAAATTTTAGATATTAAAAAATTATACATAAAGTATTATAAATTATAACTTTTTTTCATATATTAATATGATAAAAAAATACATCTTAAAATGTTAGTCAAAATTCATGTGATGTTATCTAAGATTTGGTTGCTTACAAATAATTTTATTTCTATAAAACGAGGAAGATAAAAGAGCATTTAAATAAAATAATATTATTCTAAAAGAGGAATTTTTTTTAATTAATATAAGTAAATGAAAGGAGATGTAAAATAGAAAAGGAAAAGATGTTTTAAATGTTCTATGTACAAATAATGTAAAAGTATTTATAATAGATGATATTTCCTAATAAAACTTACGTTACGTTTAGGTGAAATTCAATAATTTTGATTTTTGTGTTTTGTTAGACTAAATAAGCATCTTGTCAAACATAAAAGACTCTTCCATAAATATTTTATAAGTTTATATCCTTCGTTAAAAGTTTGATTCAAAAATATTCTTATTATTAATATATTGATCCAAAAATATTACTTTGGGTCAAAAATGTTTTTTTTCTTAATAAACATATTATTTTGTTTCTTCTCAAGACACATTAATTTTTTGTCCAGTAAAAAACACTATTCTCAACTCCCAACTATTAAACTAACATAATCAATGGATTTAAATTAATACGTCAAACTCTCACTAAAGGTTAATTTTATTTGCGTGTTTAATAGACTTTCTTTCTACAATTTTGACATTTACAAATTGAAAATATTAAAATGAGAAATTATTTGTTTTTTTTGTTCAGACAAAACTTTACTCCGAAAAAATATTTGAAATATATCTGAACTTTGACCGAAATTGCGGTAACAATCTCAAACTCTAGGTAGGACTATATCACCCCTGCACTATTTATAATGATGCAATATTTATGATGTTCACGTGGACACCTATATATCTTTAAAATACATTATTAAATAGTGCAGGGGTAATATGTCATGCCCAAAGTTTGGGATTGTTACAGCAATATCGATCAAAATTTAGATATATTTCAAACATTTTTCCCTTAAATTAAATTAATAAGACTAACATGTTTAGACTAGAATCTTGACATTTTCTTTCTACAATCTCGATTTATAAAAACTGAAAATATTAAAATGAACAATTGTTTATTATTATTATTGTTATTATTCATTTTGTCTGTTGTGGGAGAATTGCACTCCCAATTAACACATTTAATTAACAAGACTAATATATGTTTAGCTTATGGTGCCAACCCTCATTAATAGTTTAGTTTCCTAGCATGTTAGGTATAATATTTTTCTACATTCATGACTTTCACTAATAGAATAGTAAGATTAGAATAAACTGAGACATTATGAGTTAGATATTATATTGTTAAAGTAAAGAATGTATCGATTTTTATCAAGCTTAAAATTAACTATGTAGTACTATACCTCGATTGTGGTCCATCAAGAAATCACATCACTATTGAGTATATATTGACATGCATATCACCCTTTATTAATTGTTTGTTAAGTAAGAAGGAAAATATTTTTTAAAAAAATAAGTTGTATTCGACTTATTGATTGATTTGTATAAAGTTACATCATATTTATCTTGCTAAATTTGTTTCATCTTTTTTTTTTTGGAAAAAAAAGTGAAATATATATTGAAAAATTATGACCAAACACACTTTAAGACTTTAATTTATTAAACTTCACAACGGTCTTTATTCAAATAAAAAAAAAATTGAAAATTTATGACCAAACAGTAACTAAGTTTAGTGAAGTTATTAGATATGATTCTTGTCAATTCAAAGGCTGCCACTAAAAGATTTGTTTCCCTAGAAGAAAAAGAAATTGATTTGTTGAAAGAATCATTTGGTTTTCTAATGGGAAGTATAACCCAAAAAAGAATATTATCAAATTGGAAAATTTCTTTAGTTTGGCTTGCTTACTTTTTTGGGTACATTTAATTTTTTTTTACTTGCATCATTACGAATTAGTGATGAGTTTTATGCTTTCTAACTCATTTTGAGTTAGGAGTTATGGTCGTTTTAAGTTGGCTCAAAACTCATACTTAACTTTGTCAAGCTTTCCAAATTTGATTATTTCCAAAAATGGTTACTTTCTAATTCCAAGTCTTTCTAGTAGCGGGGTGTTACAATTATGGGTGTGATTGTGATTGTGGTTGTGTTGACTGGATCGGATGTCACGTTCCGACGCACATATTGGATCAGGTGTCACGTTTCGACATATACATATTGGATTGGGTGTCACGTTCTAGCACATACGTATTGGATCGGGTGTCACGTTTTGATACATACATATTGGATCGGGTGTCACGTTTCGACACATACATATTGGATCGGGTGTCACGTTCCGACACACTAACAATTTGGGTGTAGGTTCCATGAGAGGACCACTTGTAATTATTATGTTCATGTTATCTGTTGTCACTGATATTGGGAAATTGTATGTTGTTTCTAGAATGATAACTGAACTATATATTCCGTATATGTGTGCTTACTGTGTTGTAATTGCTTGTATATATTATGTTTATGGAGTAGCCGCATGATTCTACCAGTACACTGTGGTTGTGTACTGATACTGCACTTGCTCTTTCTTTGTTGAGTACAAGGCCTCTTCAGACAGCTACTAACAGACCTCAGTTAGGAGACTATTGATTGCGATCACATTCAAGGGTGAGCTAGTTCTTACAACCATGGATCCTTCTTTGTTTAGTCCACTCTTTTCAGACTCAGACTATCTGTTTAGGTTGTTATGTTTAGCTTTCGGGGTTGCACCCCCTTTCCTTAGACTTGTTGGTTAAATAGAGTTTTGGTACAATGACTTTCAGTTCTAGGGGTTGAATTTCCACGTTAGTTATTTTGTTAGACCTTCTGAGTTTATGGGAACTCCGTGATTTCTTTTAGTTATTTAAACCTGCTTCCGTATCTTTAAATGCTTAGTTTTCTGTTAATTGCTTAGTTGGGTTGTAGTAATGGTTCTCCCACCGGATGGTTAGCGTGGGTGCCAATCACAACGGTCTGAGTCGTGACATTAACACTATGAGATTTATATAATTTTACATTATTAAACATATGCAAAATTAAATATACAATCTTAATAATGAAATTTAACTTATGTACCAAACCACCCTTCGCTTAAGATAGTTACATGGTATACGTATGGTATACATCCTACCTTGTCTAGGTGCGGCTAACTTTAAGGATTCTTTTGTTAATATATTTTGGTGGCCAAAATTCTGGCTATTGTTTGATGTCTTTGCCACATTATGTGGGGAAGAATAATATATATTTTGATAGACATAAGATTCTCAAAGTAGTCATCCTCAAGCAAGTTCAAATTCCAATATTTTGATGCTACATCTATACAAACATTGAACATAATTGTTCTAACAAATTGAAGTCTCGAATCAAATCATGTCTTTTTAAAAAAACATTTCTTCTTTCAAAAGTCAAAATAATAATAATAATAACATTGTGTCTTCATGGGATAAAAAAATATATTCTTCCAAGGATGAGGTTTTGAAGTCATGTACGTTTGACAAAAAGGAAACATACAATTTTTTTTTTGGATATACACCAAAAAAAAGTCAATAGACACTATTAAAATGTTCGGTGGCTATTCTCATAGATATTTTGATTGAATAGGTGAGAAAAAAAAATTATATTTTCATATGAAAAAATTAGGAAGTTTTTCACTTTTTCACTGAGAATGTATTTTCAACCATGCATTTTTACAGTAAGCTGGGTTGATGGAAAATGAGTAGGAAAATTTTATTGTATAACAAAAAATTATCAGCGATTCGCTGGCAAAAACCTAATATTTTTAGTAGTGAGAATACATGTAGAATATGAATGTTGAGATTTAAAAAGGGTGATGATGCACAATATTTTTGAAAGAGAATTAATAGAATTATTCTTCAATTTTGTGGCTGAAAAATAAGAAAGAAAAAAAACTTTGTTGTCTAAACTTAGAGCAAGTACCAAGTGGAAAGTGAAAAAGGAAAAATAAAAGAGAGAGGATTTAGTAAAAGTAACACTAAAAAAGATTATTCAAACTAATTATAAAAATTCTTTTTCCACCAAACGTAGAATTAAAAAATGATTAATTGTGTGCACAATAAAAGATTATTGGTAGGGTAATGTTGGAATAATGTTGGAATTTGTAGGGGCAGCCTTTGTTGTTCTCTTGTACTTATCCTTCAAAATTTGCACCTTCCTCTGGTCGCGAAATTAGAAATTTTACTAAAGGTGTTCAAAATTTAACGTATACGGTATGAAATTACTTGCACGTTGAAATCGTTATGTATGCATCATAGTGATCATTATTTGCACGTTGAAGCTGTTACATACGCGATTGATAAATTACTGAGGAGAATTTTGAACTCTTACTAGTATCGTTGTACAACATTATACACCCACTCATTTATAGGGTTGCAATGAGTGGAAAGTGAGTCACTAGACGTATGCAAGATCAACATCTTCTGGTTCGATACAAAAAATTATACCGTATAAATAGAGTAAAACAAAATTTGTCATATATTATATATAATATATAAATTGTTCAAACACTCTTTACATAAGTATAGCGACAAAGGATGGCTCAATAAAATTGCTTAACATCGCTGGTTCAATCATAAGTGTGACATTCTTGCATATTTTTCAAATCCCTTTGTTAGAATTCCTGCTCTGAGTCACACAAGAGGGTCGATAAGTCGCGAGACGTTCTTGAATTTGATGTTTTCATCCCTCTAAGCATATCTTCCTCTGTTTCAACACTCCACAAGTTCTTCAACATGAACTTGCACAACTATATTGACA